CAGCCAATCACTTTCTGCTCAAGCAGGAGGAACGAGAATTACAAGGCAAGGGTGGGCATGCACTTAGGCTCCCATGAGAGCTCCTGAAGGACTCACAGATGTGCATTTCACAAAGTCAGTTTTATACATCTGGTAGACCCAGAATGCACTAGGTCACTTGGTAAGAGAACTATTCAAATTGGCACTTGCCTGCCTCCTTTTCCATATCCCTTCTCCACCCAAGAAGAGATCAGAAACTGAAGCTGGCCAGCTGGGCAAGTACAGGGGGCATAACTAAATCCAGTTCGAGGTTTCCATTATTAACTGAGATTGCTACATTTTATTCACTTAAATGTTTGCTATTTCAAGTGGTTCAAAGACTTCCTGTTACCTTTGTACTAAGATCAGAGGAGTCATGAGACCCGCTCAAGCCTTCACACAGAGACAGGAGTAAGAGCAGGCTCATCAGGGCTATTGTAGATTCATGCCACTGTTCTCTGTGTTTGACAATGAGCTGAACAGTCTGAAGACCCCTGGCGGATCCACCGTACTTTTTTTCCTCCTTCCTGGGATGTGTGCCCTGAAGTTCAAATAATCGAACCAAAAGGTCTGTCTTTGGCACAGGAATGTGCCAGAGAATGAAAAACTTAAGGTCAACACATTGATCTCCAATTTCTTGGGAAGGGCTCATCCTCTCTGGGGAAGTAGAGGCAGTGAGAGTCCTCCAGAACATCATCATGGCCATAAGGGGAGAAGCCATTGAAGACCACAGCCCTGCCTTCAGGACACCCAGGGGCAACAAAGAGCAGGATCCCTAAAACGATAGGGTGAACTCATTACTACATCTGGCTCTAAGGCCATCTTTGTGACTTGGAGCAGGCAGACTGAGGTCAACAAAGTTACCTTTCAGATCCCAAGAGGGAAACATAAACACACCAAAACCTAAGTTCTACTAAAGTCACTTGTACAAGAGGATTCTGACAGCACCAAAGTATCCATCCATGGAGAAGCTGAATGGAGTTGAATAAATCACAACTCAAGCACCTGAGGTAGAGCACACCCTATTGACTGGGTCTGCACTGGCTCTCCCTGTCCAGCTGTGATGATGCTGGCCTAACAGCTGTACCAATGTTTTCTTATAAAACCCTTTAATAATGAGAAAAGAAGGACATACACCTATTTTATTTTGTCCCATTATTCAAACTATGTTCAACTGTGAATTTTCCTGGAAAAATCTCTCATATACAATAGATCATTTCCCAAATCATTATGGAAAAATAATACCCCCTAGACATACATGTATGTATGTATGTATGTTTGCATGTATGTGTATATGTTAGTGCTAATATGTATAAATTAAAATCTATTATATAGTACCAGGGTTAATTTTATGCTTTCAATATGGATATCGTTTCTTTCTCTATTGTTTTCTTTTAACTTTTTATTTGGAAATAATGTCAAGCTTAGAGAAAAGTTGCAGGAATAACAACAAAGAACATACATATGTCTTTTACTCAGATTCACTTATTGTTAATACTTATCCCATTTGCTCTATATAAACCAATTTTGTTCTTGAACTATTTGAAAGAAAGCAATATGTGTCATGGCTTAAGTACACTCAAGGGCAAATAATTTAAACCATTTTAGTGTATATTTCCTAAGAACAGGGACTTTCCACATAATTGTTGTACCCATCAGCATCAGCACATTTAACATTGATCTACTGTTTTGATAAAATCTGACATGGGTTATTCATTTCTTATTTTGATACAATAGCACACTTTCAAGGCTTAATAACAACATAAGGTCACTTTTTATATAACATTAAGAACAACAAAGCCAATGTCATGTCATATGAGCTCTAGAATCTGTACTTATTCATATTAACCTCATGCTGATGTCTCAGTCTGAAGTGAGGACTTCAGACTTGCATCGATTTAATTTATCAGCAGCTCTTTGTTGAATGCGCTGCATTAACATATTAGATGTGCTCTGAAATGGTATCTATTTCTTATGGCCTACTGCGCAGTACTCTACCATTGAGACATAAGTAGCCCTAATAAACATTTTGGCTTCTGAGTTCAATGCAATAATAAATGAGGTTTTGGTTGTCACTTTATATTGAATCTCTAAAGAGAAAAAGGTTAATTCCTGACAAGACTTTTCTGTTCTTTATATGTCTCAAGTTGAAATGCAAGTTCTGTGCCAGGGTCCAGAGCCAAGTCCTATGGAATAGCCCAGTCCCAATACCATGAATAATACTGTCTTTTAAAATCTAGTAAGTTTCTGTTGTAGGAAAAGATTCCTTCACAAGTCCCAAGAGTATAAAAAAAAAAACTTTGTTTGCCTGATTAGATACCTCAAGTTTCTTAAATGTTTAACTTGAAGCTTTTCAGTATTTAAAAACCATAAAATCAAACATTTTTAAAAAGCCAGAAGCCTGATGAAGAGTATTAATTATGTAGATATTTCCCTGGAAAACACCCAAGCAAAGCAGTGATTTCCTTTTATACATAGCAATCTCAATTGGCCTAAAGAATCATTTCCATAATATAAGTGAGTACTTTTCCAAAGTGGGCATCTGGGTTAATTTTGTGCTCCTTTAACAGAATGCCTGAGCCTGTGGATAACTTATAAATTGCAGATATTTAATCCCTGACAGTTCTGGAGGCTGGGAAGTCCAAGGACAAGGGACTTGAATCTTGCCAGAAACTTTACGCTAGACAGAGAGAGAGAGAGAGAGGGCTGAAACTCAGTTTTTAGCAAAACCATTCTTGCAGTGCCAAACCCACTCCTGTGACAGTGACATTAATCCACTGAGCTCTCATGACCTAATACTTTCTTAAAGGTCCCACTTTTTAATACTGTTGCTTTGGATATTAAGCTTCCAACACATGAACTTTAAGATGGAGGGAGGGAAAGACATTTTCACATCATAGTGGAGGGTTTGGGGTCAGACTTTCTTGTACTCTTTTTTTTTTTTTTTTTTTCCCCCCCCACCTCTTTTTC